TATATATATATATATATATATATATATATATATATATATATATATATATATATATATATATATATATATATATTCTGTCTACGCTGAATTGTACCAAAATAAATTATACTGGTTGCTGTGCTCAAAGTTATGCTGTTGTTTTCTGTTTGACGTCATACAACATACATATCTATCTTGCCATCGGATTTCTGGTCGTTTGTCACAGATATGTCCTCTCATCATAATAATAAAGGTTACAATTAAAATGGTAACACACATGGTGACTCTGTAATGATGTCACATTCTATGGCGTGCCCTGTCACCAATAAGAACGTCGCTGATTTGATTACAGAGTATTCAAAGTTGTGCGGCAAATTGAATTATATAACACACGCAAGCTCTCCGAATCTCTACTATTGTAAAACATATTCAATAGTGTCCATTGTAACAATTCAATTCAGCCACATTTCAGAAGGATTGAACCTATTAGGAGTTCAAGCTGCAATATTTATAATGACGTCATTGGCACATTTTCACGTCCATGTCGAAATAAAACAATAATATATAACAATATTGAAACAATCTGGTGTAATTGGATATACTTTAATTATCATCAATGAAATGCTTTCAAATCTCGCCATTCACGAGATTGTATACAGTTTAATTTTGCGATGGAATTTATGTTATTAACTAACCGTTTCTTGGCAGGTTAATTGACACATGGCTACTCAAGCACACTTTTTATTCATGAGAAGAGAAATACGGCGCCATCGTGGAATCACATCTTCATACCGTGTTAAGCTTGCGATGTGGTCATTTACCACGTTGCGGACTATAACATCGTGACAATACAACATAATACATTGATTGGAATTTTCATATATTTTTTGCACATGTTTTTTTGTTGTTTTTTTCTGTGATTTACTTCAGCCAGATACAGCAGTGTCATCGTGGTGCTTATAATTCACAAAAGTTTCTGTGGCGTCAATATCAAAGTAGTTTCCCCAAACCAAAACCAAAACATCCATACACCGCATTGGAACCGACAAACGTAGGGATCAGAGGTCCGATAAGCACATAGAGATTTTCAGATACAGTATAAAGCCACGACTGTAGAATAACTTCTTATTTTACAAGTTGGAGAATTAGTTCAAAATATGTATGAAGTGTTCCTACTATAAGGAAAAACCGGAAACAAAATTGGTGTTTCAGTTAGCCATGAATATTTGGCAGTTACAATGCAGTGCTCCCCGCGTCGAACGTAAACAAATAAAGCCCTGTTATTTCACCACAACTTATGACAGTGCCGATAGTTTCTCGTACATGAACATAATCATAATTCAAACAGCATGTTACAACGACGTGAATGGAAACGTCACTGTCCAATTATCATAAAAAAGCAATTCAATGTAATACGCGTACGCGTGTGAATTTATTCGCGCAGAAATCTGTTTCCGTCTTACACGCTTACGTGTATGAGCAATGTACGCGAATTGCGTCACCGAGTCGTTAATCTCTAATTTTTAACATCACATTTACAAAACCATGACAACGATGCTATCACATTCCGTATAAGCTCGTGTTAAACATCAGTATACTTTACGTAGATATTTCTTAAAACGTAAAGACAGGTTCCGAACAACCGCGGATTACGCGTCGGATCTGATAAGTAAATTGCATGGGTATTTCAGTATATATTAACAATTACATCATACTGTGTCTGTAGTGTGATTGTTTGGGAAAGAGTAGGGGTCTGATGATAGCCACATTACAGGGGCAGAACCCTCACGGATAGAGTGACACAACGCTAGTTAATTAAATCACATTTGACATTTTATCTTCGGGTGAATTTGGACATATCATCAAACCAGTCTTGTCTAATTCTTGTTCTAGAAAATTGGCACGTTTTTTTTTTTTTTTTTTCAAACTGGAACTGTATCATGTCGATATTACAAATTTGAATATAATGTGTAACAACCTCTGTAAAAGATGAACTTGCTTTAAAGCATTTCTAAGTGTCCCACACACCCGTCAAACATGGTTTTGATGATAATGTTCGATAGAGGCAACGTACATGAAATGCTTTTGATCAACCTGTATGAATATATTTGCACAACGATAATAAAGTTCTAAAACAAATTTAGCATAAATAGATAAGCGTGGGTGCAATTAGGGGAATTAACACGGTTTAGCCGTCTAGAAATATATCATTAGCACTCAGTGGAACAATTATACGTTTTCAACGAAATGGGTTGGTTTGGGAAACCTGACTGTCATACTGTCAATTCTCATTCATTCGAGTCTGGGAATGTTTTCTTCTTCAAAACTTGCAGTGACATTTGCAAACAAATCACGCCCATATCTTCCACTATGTGTGCTATGTTTCTCACAATGTCCACTGAGAATAAGGAAAACTACATATAGAATTCTGATTGTTGTGTGAACGTTGAAAAGCATGTCAGCTAAATAGGTTGATGTGTCCTGTTTTCCTTGTAAGTTGCTGTCGAAAGTGACTGAGGTAGTATAATCGCATAGAGGGATATTATTTCAGATGGATGTGTATGCGTTATAATCACTATCAATATTTTCCCATATATATATATATATATATATATATATATATATATATATATCATCACGGTAAATGCTTAAAGCGGGGGAGTCGTCACATGCGCAAGCGTCAGATGGCGATAGCGTGTCATTATTTACAAACAAGCGTCTACCCATGAGCTTTTGCGTTTTTAGCGTGTGTTGTTATCGTCGCCTGGGACTCAATTCTCGCGCGAGCGCAGGTCGCGCTTTGATTTAATATTGCAAATTACGGACAAAATGTCAAAATTCTGATCTTTTGGTGAATGTGCACGTCACGCACTAAAATTCAAACAAGCCCACAATTTGATAATAAACATAGCATCAAGCGCAACGGAAACCCGCTATCTAGATCGGCAGCAGAAATAATAACGACCTGATGTGATGGTAGTCCGATGTTATAAGTACTTAGCATGGTAATATGTAATTAAATATACTTGCAAGTACATGTGATGCATGTTATTGCGATTGAAGTTTTGTGTCAAAGGTGAACATTGAAAATTGTAGAATATTAAACATTTTACATGCTGATATACACATTGGGTTATTTATTGTAAACAGTAAGTACTCTTGTTTTTCCAGCACTAACAATATTAATAGCTTTCAATACAAAATCGTTTATGCCACGGAGTAAACACTTTGAATTAATAAGACGTACTAGTAATTCGAAACGCATGCGTGTTTTTCTAGCTCTTTGCGTCATCGAAACACTACTAACGAGTATCATCTCACACTGAGAAATAGTGAGATGAGGCTGTAGGTGTATTCACGTCTACCGCAGGGCTTGTCATAAAATGCCTTTTAGTATTGCGTCACAGATCACGTTACGAACAGCACATCAATTTAACACAAAATCGTGACTATTCTCTTGGCTCAGAGGCGTACTGTTACCTTTATATGCGTGTATACATATATCAATACAACGTTAGTTGTTTCAGTTGTGATGGTCTAGAAATCAATTAACATCTTTCTCATTATCCAACGTGTGTTTTTGTATCGTAAATTACGCCATGGCGCTGCTTTTTCAATTATTAGGTTTCTCGTTTTAATAGTCAACATGCAATACAGTTACGTCACAGGCCATTGTGACTGTGTGAATCAGTATTATAAAAGCAAATATGGTCTAGACAGCTAACAAATATTTTAAGCTTCATAGTGTAATTGCAACTTTCAATACGCACAACCCTTAGCCCACTTCATATTTAAAGGGCGGCAGTCGTCGCGCGGCGTCCTATCCGATATGGGACTTATAGCGACGTATACAACGCATGTAAAATACATTGTTTATTTACATGAAATTCGAACACGCGGTGCGCGACGACCACCGCGCTTTAAAATATCTCTTATATTGTAAATCTCGACAGTGAAATGATGTAATTGATATAACGAACCCTGAACAACAATCCCCCTAATAACACCACAATGTAAAACGAAAAATTGACTTACCTAAACTCATAGTTAGTTCCATAGAAAGGCACCGAGTATGTCAACATCCAGGAATTACCTCCCCCACAGTCAAAGTACGGCGAACTCCAGGACCCTTCGGATTCCTCAATAAAAATATGTGTCAAATTCAACTGTTTATCAAAGTGAGTCTCATTGTGCCTCGGTAGATGGTAGCCAAATTTTTCGTGCATATTATAAACTACTGGCGGGTTGGCGCGATGGTACGTAAACCAGTCCATACTCTCCGTATCTGGTGCAGTGTAATTCAAAACTGCTAAATCCTTAGTGAAAACTGTGCCCTTGTCGCCGCGATATGCATACGGAGCGAATAGCTCCAAAGTATCATTGTACTGGTAACTATCGAAAGCCACACAGGAGCCAAATATATTGACGTCACTCTCTACATTATTGCGCACTAGGGAAAAATACACAGCGCTGTTGGTAAGAAAACTAGAATCCACTACATTGTGGTGGATTGTCTGATAAAATGTATTCAATAAATTTGACGTTTTTACTGCTGTTTTTGCCTGATTGGCGAATCCACTGTAAGTGGCGTTGGCAGTGTAAATATTCAGAAAAGATAGCTTCACACGTGTACAGTTTTCATTGTGCTCATCTAAGTATTTGATAAATCCCAGTGCAGCATCAGCGTCATCGTCGTATTTCATTCTATAATACTCAAATACATCAGTTTGTCTTTTATTCCGAACCCGCTTAGTATTATCGAATTCTCCTGCGAGCCCATCACGAGATGAGTGGCTTTCCTCTAGAAATCGCAACCTCCGGTCTTTCAAAAATGTCCTCTGATTTAAAATCGAGCTAGTGCGTCTGAATTTGCTATTGCCCAATAAGGTTTTATCAGTGAATTCTCTACTCGTGGATGTATATTCTTTATTCAAAAGGTCCCCGATGTCTCGCTGAGTATTTTGTTGCCAAGCAACTGCGTCCCTCTCTATTGAGTGGTGAGGAACGTCCCATCGTGATAGTTGATTTGTATTCAAGGTGTTAACCACGTGACTAATTTTCATATTATACACATTTCTGGTTCTCGCAAATACTTCTCCGTCTACCGATGTTAACAACAAGCAGAATAACGCCGAGTATACGTGTATATATAATGACCTCCACTGTATCAGAGACATTCTGCATGTCGTAAAGCCAAACAGCATCTGTATTATGAATAGAAACAGCTCCATCGCTTTGACAGGTTTAGGAACACGCACGTATTTTGGTCTTCCACAATCTTAAGTAGTTTCGCGGTCCTGATGAGAAGACATTGACATACATCAGAAACAATAAAGCAAAATGGCTGACTGTAGAATGTTTAAGTGCTTTAATATAACGGTACGTTTATGGACAAGTTAACATCCTATTTCATGTAATTGGATGCTCTCTGATATAGCTGTGATTTACTTACTATTTAGCATCGACTGTGTATAGTTGGAGAATAATTTATAATGAAAACGGCGGACGTACCTCGGGTATGACGCAAACATGACACTACTCCACATTCCTATTTCTCGAAGGCCATAAAACATTAATGAATCAATACATTTATTCCTTATAGATGCATTGTAAATTCGTCTTCCGTCTTCCTATACATCTCAGAATTTAACAAACATAACATTTTAGAATAGCTGGTCTAAAGTTAGGTTTGTTAATGCGATGACTGGCACACTTACAAGCGGCTTACCTTCGGTGTCGTTTCGAAAACGTCTATGAGAGCAGATCAGAAAACGAATACGCTTATTACAGCAGTATAGTTCCACGAGCCGGAGCAACATACTATGCCATGCCTTACATTCGGCGTTTTACTAATCACTGGAACGACTGACAATAATAGGCACAGTGAGCAGACCAGCTGTACCCCGCAGAGCAACGCAAATCGGGTCGAGGTTTAATGCTTCACAGCGAAGTAGAACATGTGATTATTCAGTCAGATACACTGAATAGAGTGCAAACATCCGGGTCCTCGGCTTCAGTCAGCTGAACCTTACTGTAAAGAAACACAAACACGTACCCAATAAACGATTTGTTGTTATTAAAAAGCCGGACGAAACACAACGTCTGTCTGATAAGCATCAAGATACAAGTCGGTCACTCACGCATGTTCGTGTGCAGACGACTTTGTTTATTCATTCCTTATGCACTACGTCGTTGAAGACAAATTACCTTTTTCTGGTTGTGACATTTCCCGTTTTCAAATCTAAGCGAGGTGTTAAATAATTCTAAGCATCAACCAACAACATTTTTTTCTCACACACGCAGAAACACTTCGTCGGGAATTGACAATTAGATATGGTCAACCTATATTTTTCGGGAGGGCGGGAATGCCTGATGTATGTTGATGTTCGACAAGGTCGATCGTCGGGCAGTTGGCTAATTAGTTCCATACTGAGAAATACATTCGCGGATGTGGAGACAAAACTAATTGTTTGTCCCATTCTACGTGAAGTCATTGTTTTTGTGTGCAAAACAGTTATCGTCTGCGTGTAACAGACAATCACGTGATACGCGCCTACTATTTAAATAACCGATTATTTTAGCATATTTATATGTAGGTTGTCAGGAACAAAACTAGAGATATATTTATCACGAATCAATTTTATTATTATTATTATTATTATTATTATTATTATTATTATTATTATTATTATTATTATTATTATATTATTATGCAACCATTTTGAATATTTTGTCACGTATTAACAGAGCCATATGAATTCAAATGCAGTCAACGACTTATATCAGAAGCGAGAAGATCGCATTTGTAGAGTTGCCCTGCGGTTCGGCGCATTAACGTACACATAGCACTCCCTGCGCGAGACATCGAGGGCGATTACTTCACATTGACAACGCCCTGTAACACAATAAACACGAGGAACCGCCATTTAGAGTGACATTGCTATCTATATTTACGGTGAGCTTGTTGTGAGTAATGACAAACATTTTCATAGGCAGGCTAAATGTGTGCAACAAGGGAAATCAGCGTATAATCCTAAATGGCACGAACAAAGATTAATGTTCTAGGTACGGCGACCACGATCGCAATTACGATGGGCAAGCACATTTCATAGCAAATAGAAGTGGCAGATAGCAATGATGGATCGCGGGACCCAGCTTTTACATTGCCTGAGCAATAGCGTTAATACAAAACGCGAATTGTGTTTGTTTACAGAATTCCCACATGTATATATCATCATATAGGCTTTCCAGGTTGCACTGATACATGTCTGCTGTGGGACATTTTAAATCTAACAAAATGACCTACAGTCGAATATAAGATATCATTTCCGTTTTGTTTGCACTGGCAGGAATATTGATGTCGATTAAGTTATTCATTCATATTGCCGTCTTGTCATAAGTTTAATAACCCTTATCCTTTAATGAAAGTCTAAATATGAAGCTCGCAAATATATTATGAAATTGTCACTAAATTGTACGTAGCGTAAAGTGTTGTGACAGTTGCGGATTACAAATTTAGTTGTCACTACCTCTCATGAAATAATTAATGACAGACTAATTAGATTTCCGGTGACTAGTTTATGGGTTGAATCATGGCGTTCCGTGTATTTGAAGTCCCTTTTGTAATCATGCTACAAATTTCACAAGATGTATATGGAAAACCTTCAACTGTGATGCCTGATCGTTTAGCCATATATATCATGAAACTTTTATGAGAAGAGTATATATTGTATGTGTCGGTAGCACGTGGTATGCATTGCAGTATTGTGATTGGTCCATGAAAGCACGAGATTGCAGCAGTGACTTGCCAAATAGGTTCCTGACGTGCAAATAGGCCTTTTTGAATTAATTAAAACTTTAACTAAACTCAATGTAATGTAAATGCTGCAAAACACAACACAATATGTTTTCCTTCTCTCTGTAAAGCCCACATGATATATTATATTCAAATGAAATATGCATTACGACTAAGTTCAGATCCACGGATAACGACTGATATACATATATAGGAATTAGATCTTGAAGCAGGATTTTAGATTTGTTGCGCTTATATCCGACTTCAAAGTTTTGTTTTCTAATAAGCACGCTTCATACATATTCCTGGGTAAAGTTTGATATAATATACGGCAACGTGAAATAAGTATGGTTGCGGATACATGACATTACCTACAACAATCTATAATTGCATTGAAGCAACAATTTATGTAACTATACACAGCAAAAACAAGATAATATTGAAAAGTCTAAAGTTCGAAGAATACAGAAAACTGGTGACTGAATATGATATATAGTAAGCGATGTTTGGAAACAGTTGTCGTATGTAACTATTCAAAATAGATAGACGTATCGTACAGATAGGTAATTGTTCCGTTTTCTACATAGTTATTGCGTGTTTGCTTGCTCCCCGCACCATATTATAACAGACCAATATAATATGTATTTATTTCAACCATGTCATTTCACGGAGCAATCTAAACATTTGGTAAGGCAAATATATTCAGTTGTTCCAATTATTGGTACCATGCCCACGAGGTTTGCATGCGTGATTCATCATCGCAATGTCGTGTAGTAGCAACAAGAATGCAAAGAGGTGAAAACAGCTGAAAGCCAGGTCTTTATAACTGAACCATACACATAACAATTAAATAGCTCAACTATGCTTTATAGTTCATCTGCACACACACTGAATGTTCTCTGGTGAGTCTCGGTTTAACTCTCAAATGTAATATAGTAATTTATCATTTCTGTTTAACAACAGTAAATAACTTCTGAGATGTTGGTTTAATAAATGTAGTAGAAACATCAGGCAACGACCATCATATGTGCATGAGTTGTTGTTTTTTTGCTGGGAAGTGGGGTATGTCATATTTATCATCTTAGATGAACTGAATGTATGTTTTTTGAGTGAGATGCAACTATCTAAACAGAAAATATAAGTCGGGAACTGATTATATTCATAGGAAATGAAACACAGTTTTGTAAACATTCAAAGTAATGACGATTATTTTACATTTTCAAAATATACAATTCGTCATATCTCCATGGTGCTGCTGCAACATAAAGTGGAACATATGGATTTTTAAAATTATAATAAATAAACTCGGTATATTGTTTTTGGATTAATTTTACAAGATAGCATATGCTTTTTTCAAATGTTATTGCTAACCAATTCCCTCAACACAGTTATAACAACTACGAGCTTGATATAATTACGGGGGGGGGGGAATGCAAATGTGCTCATACACCCGTCATACGCATCATCGTGGAGACATGATTTATTCGTATATGATGTGTTTTGTTGCATCACACAATAGCACAGCATGATAGATGCCCAGGACAAAACGAATATGGAGTCATTTTCAATTGGAAATGGACGTCACATGATGTCGAAACTATTCAATTTATTGTGAATCAATATTAGGTTTGTGAAATGAATCAGCCTCCATTCAATGCAATTAGTGTCTACCCATAATGCATTGCAGACCAATAATGCATTCCATTAGATTTATCGTGTTATGTTTAATCTAAGTGTGTTATATGAACATGGCATTGTTTAAATAATACTATAACCAGATTTAGACGTAAAACTTGATAACATAGTATTGTATTGTGTGCAATACAAATGGCCACAGCTGTAGCTTCATAAATTATATAATTTTATCGTCACGGTGTTCTAGCCAAGATGGCTGCCTTTTTCAAATCTGAAAAGTACTCATAATTTAAAATTCACGGAATATATTTCCACCAAATAGTTTTTTTTTATTATATTTTGTGTGAAAAATGTTATGTAATTGTTGCACATTGATATGAGATTATGATTGTGATTTGTCATTGATAACCTAATATGTGTAATACCTAGGCTATACATGTAAATTAAATGCTTTGTTATGTATACAACACTGAAATAATATTCCTTTAGTTACACAATATAACTACACACATTTGTTCATGTTTGTTCAGTGATGTTGACTTGTATGTAATGGGAAATTATGTTCATTAGGTTCACAATTAACAAAGACATTATGGGATATGCACCATGCCCATATGTTCAACAGATTATCTTATGCTGGCTGCATGCAGCGTGGCGAATGGCAGAAATGTATAGATTATGAGACCAACTATTCATCATATTTCAAGAGTCATATGGTTTGGAGTCCCTGCTATCATATTAAAACAC